TCAAGAAAAATTCAAACTGTGTTTTTTCTTTGAGGCTGTCGATAAACACACATTTTTAGTGAGGGAAGTAGATACAAAACCAAAGGATAAATTTTGTTTATAGACAAAATCAATATAAAAAAAATATGACAAAAAGACAACTTCGAGAAAAAATCAAGTTTTATGAAACTAGACTAGACGTCTTTCATTTTCATATTACGTTAAATCAAGGTGTAACTGTAAATAGTTAATATTGTTTTACTTCTTTTTCAGTAACGTGATGCTTATTAATTAGCTTCTATATATACACTGAGAATCATAGTTTGCCTTATCAATGATTTTTGCATTCCAAGACACACCTTACAGATACCTCATGAGTTTCATATTTTGTCCCTGTGATGAAAAAGGCTTTGATGTGTACAACTTGTGTTTAATATGAATCTTGATTTCGCCCCTAAATTGCTCTACAACTTTGTAGATCCAAAATATGAAACCATGTATCACTATAACATTGTTGCATAAATAAGCATTTAAATTTTAAATCAGTGTCATGGCATAAGGTAACTGGTTTCCAATTATAACATCGATCTCCCATGGTTAACATTTCAAATGATTTCTACATTTAACACATTCTTCAACAGATCAACCTTTTTAAAAGCTTTTTCTTAAAATCAACTAATTTATACTCATCTATCTTAAATGTCTTATAAAGCTCCTCAATCCTCATCTACATTGTCCTTTTTTAAGTGCACGGCATATTTAACGAACTAATTATACTCATCTATTATGACAAACCTGCTTGAATCCATTCATTTTTATCTTGTATATTTAATAAAATGATAAAGGTTTACCACGTAAATAAAAGTATGGTGTTAGATAAACTTTTATTAAATGTAGAAATTAAATAAAAGGACTAAGTAGTTAGAGATTTCCAAGTGGCAGAAGCCATAAAAAACAAAAAAACATTCAAATGGTAAAAAGGATTTGCAATGGGTTGTACAACTAGTAAAAAAGCCATAAAAGTGACCATTAGAGTTGGTTCTTAATATGTTGCATATTTTAGTTGACAAGTATATTATTGTTTTTAGGAGACTATTTGAGCACCTTTTTTTCTAGCTAAAGAATTTATCAGTTGTATGTTTTAACTTATATCAGTGGTAGAGATGGTGATTTCTGACTCGTTTATTAGTTATGTTTTATTTTTAACGGGTTTAGTTGTTATAATAAGAAAAATAGCTAAATTGTTATGCAAAGTTTTTCAATATATTTAACATTTTTAATAATATAGTTTGTGATCACATTTAAACACTAATTGTATAATGTATACAAGGAGAAAGTTAGACAAAATGTTTTAGGCAACCAAACCTGACTTTACAAGTGTAGGCAATTACAGTACTTTTGCTTATTGAAGTACGAGGTTTGCGACTAATATGACAAATAATCTGTAGTTTGTAATTGGTTAAGTAAAAGAAAATATTTTAAATTATGTGTAATAGAAAGTTTGATGAGTATTATTTGGTAAACAAAATAAATTTTAACTTTGATTGGTTGGAGCTCCTCTAAAAGAGGAGACTCTCCAAAAATAGTCGTATGCCACTATAGGCAGCGCGCACACGGTATTCTTTAGTAAAAGGCGAAAGAATAGTTCGCTTTGTGCTCACTGCATGGCTGCGTGCTTTTTCCTTCTCTAGCTGCTTGGTTTATATAATCACTTGGAAGCCTTTTGTTTCTTCTAAGCTAACGATGTGGGATGAACCCCATACTTCAATTCAATTTCTCCTCTTTGGCCTTTTTCCCTTTCTTTTACCTTGAATTCATCTTGGTTTTCTTTTTATACACAAGTGTTTGGAAATGCATTTTCAGAAAGTAATTAGGGGATATCGGATATTCAAAATAAGGTATTCCACTAATAAGAGTAAAACTAAAACTGTAAAAGCCTTTCATCATGTTACTTTAAACCTCGGTGTAAATATATATGTAATAAGGTTTTACTTTTTGTATCAGTATTCAGTAATCTGATGCTTATTGTTTTGACATATAAACCATAGTTTTCTTTAATAATTATTTTTGTGATAACCAATCAAAGTTTTCAATACACACCTTCAAATGGTTCGATCATAAATGTCATTTTTTCCACATCAATCAAATAAACACAACTTATATGTTTTCTTATCTCACATCTATGTTAGATGACAGATTAAATGGTTATTTATTGTCTCAGCTTCTGAAATCCCTCTTTTCACGTTTTCTTCCCTCGAATTCCTTATACCACACCCCCTCAAACCACCGTTACAGGTGTTTTGACATCCTTACGACCCTACCTACAAACAACATTTTTAGGGACTTAATTCCTTCGAACTTTTGCTTCAAGTCTAACCCGATCTTTTATTTTATTTTTATTCATTTCTACATGTCTTTCGGTACAACTATTCAAACATCATTTATATGATTATAAAATCGACCAAAATAAATTGATCCATTTGACAAGTTGATCATCATTTTAACTAATAAAATGAAAGACACCCACCGTGGTAAATTGTGAAATACCTTTATGTTGTAAAATTATCTTTTACAGTCTATTGGTGAATGAAAATGTGCATTTGGAAATAAAAAAAATACTTAATTATACTTTTAACCTTAAAACTCATGGTTATTAAAATTGCGATCTTGATCGTAGGATCGTGTGATCGTAGGTATGAAAAACGATTCGGATTGTAAGTGGATCGTATTTGGGGTAGGATCGTAAGATCGTAGGATCGAGATCCGATCCGATCCTACCTTCCCTTATTTTATTTTATTTTTGCAAATGAATTTTTTTTACCACTTTATGTCTTTTATCCTTTACCAATCTACTATTTATCATTTTTTATTGTAACTTATGACTAATATTTTGAAGTTTTATAGCTTTTGAACAAAAAATTAAATGTTTTAAATATTTTTCATGAGTAAATATTATGAATTAAAATTATATTTTATTTTGTGGGATCTTAGGATCTCGATCCTGATCTTGCAAACCTAAAAACGATCTTAGGTAGGATCCCGATCTTGACAGCCTTATTAAAACCAATCTAATTTGTTTTTATAATATATATATATATATATATATATATATATATATAACATTAAAAAAGAATTAATCTAAAAGTTAAGTTATTATTGGCAGTATACTTTTTGTAATCATATTTGACACTAATTGTTTACAAAAAAAAATAAAAAATAAAAATTAAAAAAATATATATATTTGGATTAGACAAAAAGCGTTTTGGCCAACCAAACATAAGTTGACCCGTTTCAAGTTATATAATATACTAGTTTATAACTCGTGGGAACTACATTTATAAAATTAATTAAACTTTTATAATAAAAAAATTATAATTATTAATCAATTATTTTAAATAAGTCATTTTAAATAAATTATTAATTAAGAGATATATCAAAAATTTAAAGTTATTATAACTTCAAATTTAATATGTAATTAGAAAATGTAAATTTAAATTTTGAAATTAGTTGTCTAATATATCTACATTACACATGACATAATATTAATGATGGGTTGTATTAGAGTGATATTTCGCAAAAAAAATATTAAAACTATTCATTTATTAGAATAGAGATTAAGTTTTTCTTTAATATTTACTTAACTTGTCCACATGTTCAAATTGGAACATGATCAATTACATATTTTTGCCTATTGCTAATAAGATTCACCAACATACACGGCTCATTTGGGATAATACAAGATAACAATGCAAAATGACCAACTTGGTGAACTATATTTTGCTATTTTAACCGTTATTAATGATTTGTGTGAATAGTGTGACTAAATTTGTATGAAGATAACTTAATTGATCTTGATTTTTAATGTACAAGTATAAGCTTGATAAATTATTTGATTAGAGTGTATAACCGGAAAAGGTGTTTACGATATCCAAACATCTTGAATTCAACACCTTTGTGAATTGTGTCGGTGAGCTATCACTTCATTTTTAATCAGAAATTCAAACAACGTGCAATGTTCATGAGTTGATCAGTTCATTTTTTTATATGAATCGCATAAATAGTTTTTGTTGCATTCTAAGGTTTATATAATCAGAAATTTCTATATGAATCGCACTTACATTTCACAACTTTTAACTTTGAGATTGGTTGGAGCCCTTATTTAAAAGGGACTCTCCAAAAATATACGTATGCCACTTGATGCAATGAACACACGGTATTCTTTAGTAAAAGGCGAAAGAATAGTTCGCTTTGTGTTCACTGCGTGGCTGCTTGGCTTTCCTTCTCCCATCTGCTTTGTTTATATAATGGATCCAAGCCTTATGTTTTCTTCAAGCAGGCGATGGGGAATATAGTCCCAAACTACATTTTTGCGATGCGCCTTCCTACCTTCCGTTTTCTTTTTTTATTTACTCATGTGGTTGGTTTAAATAAAGTGCATATGATAAAACTTAAAAAGAAAATTATGTCTTTACCTTTTACATTAAAGTAGTCGAAAATGTTTACTTTTAATAAATTCCATATTGATGTTTGCAAAAGGGATAGGTCGGCAAGTTGATTTGAAACATTCTTTTGTTGTTGTTGTTGTCTTTCTTATTGCAGGGGCAATCAACTTGTTACACATTATTATGACAACTATGTAGTTACAATAACAATATAGTATGTGAATAAAACACCTTAAAAGGTTAAATATATATTGGATGACTTTCAACGAACTTGTTTAAATCTTAGTTAAACTCTATTAATTTTACTGTTGACCATTTATATTTGTATTAATATTAATTTTTAGCTCCTCAAGTAACAGTAAATTGTTGCTATTGGACCTTTTTTTTTTTCCTTTTTTGGTTTGGATGGTTTTTTTTTAATGTTATTTTTAGACAGTGGATTACACGTGCAGTCAGGTCTGTGTGCTTGCTGGCATCTGCATGTTATCACCTCAACAACCCACCGCCCATTGACAATTATGTTAGAAATCCACCACCGTCTCTCCCTCTACCTCATTGACTCTACCTCTCCATTCCCTACCCGCCTCCAAGCCTCCGCCTCACTGTGTTCTATTTCTTGTATAAACATATGATTGGACCACCACATCTTCTACCTCATGCAAAGGATCGCAGGACAACTTCCAATAGTTCTGATGCTTCATTTTCCTACCGACACTAACAAATTTGGATTGGGTATCGATTTCACAGTATCACCCAGTTTCATCTCATCTCTGATACATATTGTTTGAAGATTAGTTCCCAAATCAGATGTCAAGACTGAAGAACCCTAACCTGATTCTCACCACCACCATCATTGATCATGTACCGATTTTTCGCCTTCCCTCTTTCTCGATTCCAACTTGCTCAGGTTACTCCACTTCCGATTGTCCTTATTTTCCTGTGAGATAAGCAAACTCACAACGAAAAAAGAAACTATCGATTTTGATCTTGCTTTCATTCATCATATGTTGTTCGCTCATTCTCTCTCTAAGCAGGACTCATGTACACACATACTCGCCCATATTCTCTTTTTCAGAACGAATACACCTTTCATTTTCATTGCATGAGACAGATAATCCAAAATGGGAATTCCATCGACTCCTTCACTAAAGAAGTCGAAGGAAGCAACGATCTTGATGCTCTTAAGGTACTAAAAACAGTTTAATCTAATAAAAAAATAGACCTTATGTAGTTTGTAACTTTGTAACTAAACTTATTAAAAAATTTCCATTTTTTCTTTGTTATCAGGAACTTCAATTGAAAGATAGCGATGTATCAAGTCAACCCAAATGTAAAAACACCACTGATGACAATTTAGGCCTTAAAATTGATACAAAAAAGAAAATAGAAGTAAAGAAAACTTCGGTATCTTTCAACCGGTAACCATCTTCGGTATATTTCAACCGGTAACTGGGGACTATTGCACCCCTACTACTAGTAACACATATCTCATAGCATCCCAGCATAATAAGCATATCAAATAATGGCAACCGGATAATTATCACAAAGACAATCATCTCAAACATAATCACCTATTGGTGGGTCGACATTGGCGCCTTAGACCCACCCATACTGGAAGGTAACTCACCTCACACTGCTAAAGTCCCACATACTCAACCATACATTGCTGAAGTCCCGCAGACTCAACCCCAGCTGCTGGATGACAAATTCCCGAACTGTCAACACCAAAATAACACCCAATTAATAATTTGGTCCCAACACATAATCATAAATACATACTTGGATAACCACTACACTACCCCAAGGTTGGCTTTATTCAAGCCCAAGGCCCAATCCATAGGCCCAAATTCAACTATGAATCAGAGCCCAACATATGGCTAAATTTTCCAAATTGGGCCCAAACCTTTGCATGGTCTCATTTTAAGGCTCAACCAAAAGTACAATCCATCAGTTGGTATTTTTAATGGCCCAATGTCTCATAATCACAAAGGCCCAAACTATGGCCCATTTATGGCCTAATTTTCCAAATTAAGCCCAAACCCTCATATGGGTCTTACCCTAAGCCCATCAACATATTCTATTCCATAAGATTATTCTTGGATGACCCATTAATAATCCACTTACCAAAACCCAATGGAAAGATCCAACTCAAGGCCCAAGTGAAATTAGGGTTTCACATAAAATGACGCTTAGGGTTAAGTGTTTCTCACTTAACCCATTAAGGACTTAACTTACTAAGGACTTAATCCGCTAAGGACTTAATCCATTAAGTCCAATATTGCTTAGATTAATTTCTGCCAATGATTATTATTTAATATTTTAAGTTATTAAATAAATACCGTGTGTGTCCCGATAAATTCTCAAAATTTGGGTTTTATTGGAATTAGGGTTTTCCAAACCCTAATTAGGGGTTTCAACCCAAATACTAGCCCATTTATTAATTTGCTGGGCCTTTAGATCAATTAGGGATTTATTGGGCCTATTAGGCCAACTAGAATATCATTAAGCCCATTAGTCACATGCTTGGGCTTTTAGGTCCATTAAGCTTCATTGGGTCCATTAGGGCATACAAGGCCCATTAGGGTTTCAAGCACCCCAAATGAATCAAGCTCAACGAGGCAAGCACACTGCCACCCGACATGGCGGCCGGTGGCGGCAACCACCACCTTACGGTGGTGGTTTTGGGTTCTTTTCATTATTTTTTTGCTAATTACATTTTAAAACCCGAATCTCAATAACAAACACACACATACACATACACTCACACAACCACCTTGTGGTAGCTGGTGGTGGTGGTTCTCTGTTTTCCAGCCAAGCTACACTATACACACAAACCCACCAAGGAAAATAGAAACACACCCACCCATTCTTCCGATTGAAATCACTCAGCCACCCTCTTGGTGGCATACGACGACGACAGCAGCCGTTTCACGGTGACAGCCACCACCTCGCGGTGGTATCGGTGGTTCCGCCCTCTTTTTTTCCAATCGATCAACACAGACCGCAGACCCTGCTCGAGATTCTGAATACAACCACCATTGGTGGCGTGTGTGACGGCAACAACCACTCTATGGCCACAACGGTGGCTAAAGGTGGTGGCTAGCGGGGAGAAACGAAGAAGACGATGACGTAGCAGCAACGAACGACGACAGCGAATATGGAGGCAAGAAATGCGCATAGCGTCCGACTGGGAAACAACAACGGCGATGTCGTGGTATCTCGATGGCGAATGACAGGCAACAACGGGATCTAACGGCTGGAGGTGGTGTCACACCCCCGAACCGTCAGAACGGACGGCGGAAACGTTCGGGGGCGGGTGATTTCATGCGTAGTATCACAACAATTTGTATCGTAGCAATCAAAGTAAACACAACCATTACATTACAATATGAATATTTACATCTGTTTGAAAACATAGTTTGTATACATCAAAAGTAGCAAAAGATAAAGAGGAGACTCCAAAATGCTCCGTCTTCTCCAAAACTTGGCAATGATACCTGTCTATCGTTATCCTGAGAATACAAGCGATTTTGAAAACTTATCAGCATAAAGCTGGTGAGTTCATAAGCATGTTTTTGTATTGAAAACTAGTCACTGAATTTGTACAAATGATTTCTTTTCATTATAAGTAAACCGTCGTTTGTATCGAAACCCTGGTCGATCACTAGTAAGTAAAATGTATTACGTTTGAAAGCCCTGGCTACAACCAGTAAGTGATGTGTGTTACGTTTGAAAACCCTGGTTACCACCAGTAAATGATGTATGTTCTGTTGAAAACCATGGTTATCACCACTTTGTAAGGTAGTTTTATTATTTAAAATAAAACCAAAGGTTGTGTCCCTGGAATACCCTCTTGTGCAGTATGTAAGTATTCTTATTAATTAAAATAAAGCTATTGAAGAAGTAAAATCCCGTAAACAAAGGTTAGTAATACTATTGTGAGTTCGTATAGCCATGTTAATGTGACTGATGACCTCCACGACGTTTCTTCAGGTGTCGTATGTTACAAAATTTGTCACCCCTGGCATGCCTGCCTAACTGTAGCTAACAGTTCAGGTGTGGGATTGTTAATCCCGAATAGATATATTCACAAATTTTACGCTCTCCCTCCAGGAGACTCTAGCTATACTAAATGTAGAGGATTTGCTAGTACCCCGAAGGGTACAATGAAGAGGTGTCTCATAATCTTGTATTAACTAGTTTACGTGTTGTTCTGTTGTTCTCGTGTTTGAAATCGTTTGTATACGGTGTAGAGTATAAATAGTTATACGCAAAATAATTATTTAGTAAGATACTCTTGTTATCTGAATGTAATATGGATAAACTAAATCTGCCATAGTTTATGTGTTTGAACCTGTAAAACCGATAATGAATTTCCCAAACTATACATATTATAGTTTGACTGATATGTTATGTTCATGTATTGTTTTGAAAACTATGCAATTTTCTTTAGAAAGCATCCCTTATGCTCCGTATATTACAAAATAGATAAATTATCTAAAAGTTTGAGGTAAAATCGTTGTTATTGCATCGGTTTTTAACTTGTGAAAACCTTTATGTTTGGCTTGTATTCCCCCTAAAAACGTTATAAAAACTTATAAAATCGTAGGGGTATGAACTCACAGTTGGTTGGATGCAAATGATTGAACTATACAATCCTTGAGTTGATGTACGTTGCACTTAACGGAATCCTAATATCACATAAATACATATATGTATCTAAATTAGTGATTTCGTTAGATAAAGTGTTAGATAAACACTTGATTTTGGTTAAGGAATGTTACCGGAACTTGGTTTGATCGAGGAAAACAGGCTTTTCCCCACGAAAGAGTTGTTTACGGCCGTATATGGAGTTTACAATTGTGAATGGAGTTTACGGTCGAGAATCGGGTTTACGGTCGTGAACAGGGTTTACGGCCGTGAACTAGGTTTGCGGCTTTTGAAGTTCTGGGGGATTACGGTCGTAAAATCAAGAACAAGAGTGTTGGTTTTCGACTAAAAAGTGTTCCAGAGGCTCCCAAACGGCCCCAAATGTAGGGGTGTGCGCGGTGCGGTTTGGTGCGATTTTGAGTCAAAACTGCAAACCGCACCGCATATGCGGTTTGAATATTTTAGAAACCGCAAACCGCACCACAGATGTTCAAAACCGCATGATGCGGGGCGGTTTGATGCGGGCGGTTTATGCGGTTTAGTTGCGGTTTGTGCGGTTTGATGTGTTGTTTAACATTGAATCTATCAAAAAACTAAAAACCTGATCGGGTTAAAAAAATGATTGCTTTCATTTTATAAAAACAAATACAATTTTCGAGTTAAATCGTTTTTAATAAATTGTGACTCATGTTACTATAGTTTTGTAAGTATCATTGTTATTGCTTTATATTGTCGTTATAATTTATATATTCTTGTAAACCATGAGATCTTGATCTAATAGTGATTTAATGTTACGTTATAGATATTTGGTTATTGTAAGAAATATATTTATATACATCATTTCTAAATCGTGATTTGAAGTTATAACAAAAAAAAAAGAAAATATATATATATATATATATATATATATATATATATATATATATATATATATAACATGCGGTGCGGTGCGGTTTGAACCGCAGTTTTATAAATACAAACCGCAAACCACACCGCATAGTGCGGTTTGATAAAATGATGAACCGCAAACCGCACCGCACCGCGAAATTCTAAACCGCATTATGCGGTGCGGTTTGGTGCGGTGTGGGCGGTTTGTGCGGTTTTTTGCACAGCCCTACCCAAATGACGATTTCCAGCGTTTTTTGGGTGAAAGAAGAGTTTTATGGAGTTTACGGTCAAGAGGTTTAGAGAGAGAAAATGGGTATTTCGGCCAAGAAGGTTGAAATGAGGGTGGGGGTGTGGGGTCTACCTGGCACTGACCGTAAACAGAGTTTACGACCATAAACTCGTTTTGGGCGTGAACTCGGTGATTTTCAAAGATTTGAAGGTTTTTCACGCGATTTTTGGTTTTCCGACTCATATGTAATTATAACTATAACCTTAGTTAATATACTTAACCCAAAAAGTTGACGGAAAATTTTAAATAAAAAATATATTTTATTAACGGAGGTGGGTTAAAATAATGGGAGAAATTTCGGGTTGTCACAGGTGGCGACTGCAACCCACTTCCATCCGTTACCGATTGAATGGCAACATTACGCGATGGTCTCCGTCTTCAGCAGCACCGGAGAGACACAACGAAGGCTCGGTGGTTGGAGGAGCAAGGGAGAATGGGTGGCGACCAATGGTTGGGAGGCATAAAGGGGGTGCGAGTGACGGCTGCATCATAAGGGGCTTAGGGTTAGGGTTTGATGGGTAAGGAAGCTATATACCCGGTCCCTCATCATATCTTTTCCATAATGATAGTTTCGGCCCCTCCTCCATAAATTCCTTTCAAAAGAAGTCTATAATATACCATTTAAACTCTGCCCCTTCAATTCCTTTACAAATTAAGTCCAGATTTTACTAAAACAACCTCCACTATCTTAATTATGACATAATCAGCCCTTCCACCTCATTTCCTCTTAAATTAAATCCAAATAATTACCACGGAGCCCCTGTCTTCATAAATAATTATAAACTGAGTCTGAAACTTATACTTTTAACCCTCAACTTCTAAATTATGCCAATTAACTCCTCGAAACCAACACCCTGCATGTATAATTACGGATTTTAGGGCTACTAAACATTCATCAATTTATTTATAAATAACAGGTGTTACAATAACATTAACCCAACTTTTAAAATTGTTGCATCTTTTACTTTTTTTTTTTTTTTTTATTAAATGAATAAGGTTAAGGGAAATGAAAATGTTGATACATGAGTGCAAACGATGATGAAATAAGCAGAGTGTACTGATAAGTTAGTAAGTTAGTTTAATGTTTGGTTATACTGTTAATCGATTAATTAGTTTGTATTACTAACCGGAAGTGATGACTGTTAAAATTTGTAAAATATTGTAATCAAGGTGAAGAAATGAAATAATATAATACAACTTTTAGCCAATGAAAATGTTAGAAATTGAGTGAGACAAATTGCAAATTAATAATCACAACATTGTGTATAGTTTATCTTCATTTATTAATAATACAAAGTAGATCTGACAAACGTGTCGTGTCGAGTTCGTGTTGTGTCAAGACATTTAACGGGTTGAAAGAGCTTGACCCTAACTCGACCCGTTTAATTATCGTGTCGTGCCGTGTCAACCCATTTATTTTCGTGTCGGGTTTCGGGTTAAGGTTTAAACCTTGTAAATATGTTGTGTCATGTCAGGTTGAAATATTTTAAAGGTTGGAATGTAGGAGTAATAGAGGCAAGAAGGAAAAAGTGAAACACTGGAGTTATGAGATGAAATGACAACATTTATAGTAAGTTTAGAAGAAAAAATAAAAAGAATTAAAGTTCACGAGCAAAAGTGATAGGTGATGAGAATGACCAAAATTAAGTAACCTTTAAAATTTGAATAAATACAAGTTTATAACATATAATATATTTATAAAAATATGAAATTTATTATAAATAATATATAATTAAACGGGTCATATTTGAGTCATCTTCGAGTTGAAAGTCTTGACTCTAACCCTATCCGTTTAATTATCGTGTTGTGTTGTGTTAACCCGTTTACATAAACGTGTCGAAATCTCTGATCCGAACCCGCTAATTTCGTGTCGGGTTTTCGTGCCGTGTCATGTTTTATCAGGTCTAATACCAAGACACCATGTCACATTTATGCACATACTCTCTTAAAATTTCATGATTATTAAACACCTAACGAACAAAAAAAGTCAAAATATAATATTTGGTAAGTGTTACCAACATATAACATCCAAAAAATATATTAAAGCTATAAAAAAAAAAAAAAAAAACAATACTTGGTCAATGTAAAAACTATCCATTGTTAATATAAGGGACTTTAATAGAATGGTGTGTTGGTTTGAAGAATTTTTTTTATTGCAGTTTAATAAATAATAAATTTACTGGATGATTCATATTGTCATTCGATTCATTTCATTTTATAAGTTGAAATTTGATTCCTTTTGATTGTCTTGTAAACCCGTGAAATTTGGTTCCTTTTCAATATCATTGGTATGTTTAGAACTTCTGTCAATTATTACCTAATTTTTATTATTATTACAAAAAATAAATGATATTAATAATAATTTTAAACTCAATTATTGGTATGTTTGTACTCCGTATAATTTTGAACAAACTTTGTACAACACAAAAAAATTATTGATATTTTTTTTCTAATAATAATAATAACAATAAAATACAGAAAAACCCAACAATTTATTTACCTGTAATTAGAAAAAATCCTTACATTTTGTTTATATATACAAAAAACTATTATATTTTCATTTACCTTTCAGATTTACGTAAATATTCATTTTTTAAAAAGTTATTGGTTGTTTTGTGTCGTGATATTTATCTTGCTTATTTTAGGTTGATATAAAAAAAAGTAAGCATTATCACTTATATTTGCTTGAATTATAATCAGGGACAACTTTATATAGGGTTTCATGGTGGCACCGACAATGTTTGACTTGTCTGCACGCAGTGTAATTTTTGATTTTTTTTTTCTACTATCGTATCACTCCTAAGATGAAATCTTGCGCTCTACCTCGGTAATATATAAATTTGAAAGGAATACTCATTATAATATGTTGGTATGCTTTTGAAATTGTAATAATAAGCTGAGATATTAATAGATGAAATGGAAACATCATTATATATTGTTAATTTTCATTTAAAAAAATGACAACTTATTTTTAATCAACTTATTAATATTTTTTAAAGATGAATTACCATTTGATTTATTTGATTTTGTGACCATTAGATAATCAGTTTATTCATACGGAGGGTAAACAAGGAAATGTGTTGGTACACTTTTGTGGGACTTAAATCGAAGCATATCTCAAAAGTCCTCACAGACTCACAAAGCAGACGAAGAAGCTCTCAAGAACTATTACTGATCAATTTGTTTTGAAGATTTTGAGAGCAAAGACCCCTACAGGTGGCTATGGCAAGTTCAACGGCGTTGAATTTGGAGGATTTTCAGTCGGTAGATCTAATGACGGAGCTGCTTCGTCGTATGAAATGCTCTACCAAACCTGACAAACGCCTCATTCTCGTCGGTAACCTCTTGTTTGCATGTCCATTTTTTCTCTATATATAAGCGTTTCCGCCTGAATTTTGTTTCACAAAGTGTTTGTCTTGTTAATTTGCTCAGATCCGATGCGATTTAGTCAACAGAAGGTTCTCTTTTAGGAATTTTTATTTTTTTTAATTCATCGGATTGCTATGTCGAACATGCTGCGCATTTAACATATGCCAATTTCCTAAACAGGACGTTATCAGGGATTTGATTCGGTTAGAGAATTGCAGAAACGTTCATTTGGGATTCTGTTTGCTATGAGTTTTTGTGTTTTCTTTTTGACTTTATCGTATTGCTGCGCAGAAATGCAGCAAATATGATTTTTTCCCCCTAAACGTGAGGTTATAAGTACTTGATTTTGGATTTGGTTTAGTTAGAAAATTTGGTTATTATAGGAGATTGCAGAAACATTCTTTTAGCATTCTATTTGCTTCCTATATTGTTTACAGGAGGAGTAATCAACTAATCATAATAGCGACTAGGTAGGGTTAGTGTCAACTTTTAGAGCTTAGTGGAATCATAGGCAATTATATAACAGATCAACATTTATTACAACTTTTGCATGTATTTTGCATCAAGATTAATGTGAATTACGTGACACATTCATTCTTATTATTCTAAGTAAATAGTGTCTCAATTGCAGATCCTTGATTCATTATACGTTTTCCATGACAATTAAGATATGTTTTTTCATCTTGTGTAGGACCCCCTGGATCTGGTAAAGGCACCCAGTCACCAATAATCAAGGATGAATACTGTCTATGCCACCTGGCAACAGGTGATATGCTAAGAGCTGCTGTTGCTGCAAAAACCCCTCTTGGAATCAAAGCAAAAGAGGCTATGGACAATGTATGTTTTTTACTTTACTATATATACTTGTTTGTACTTTGTAGTTTGTACTCACATCACACCCTAAATTCCTATGTGTTTAATAGGGACAACTGGTTTCTGATGACTTAGTAGTTGGGATAATTGATGAAGCTATCAACAAACCTTCATGTCAAAAAGGTTTCATTCTTGATGGATTCCCAAGAACAGTGGTCCAGGCAGAAAAGGTTTTTTTTTTTTTTTTTTATTAACATCAATCAAGATTCTTGAATGTGATATTTTAATTGTGTGTTATGTTATAATAGCTTGATGAGATGCTTGAAAGTAGAGGGGTGAAAGTTGACAAAGTGCTAAACTTTGCAATAGATGATGCAATCTTAGAGGAGAGGATTACTGGCCGTTGGATCCATCCTTCAAGTGGTCGGAGTTATCACTCAAAATTTGCACCCCCTAAAGTTCCTGGCGTAGATGATGTATGTCAGATTTATTTATTTATTTATATAATTTAGTAATCAGCTTCATTGAATTTTGTTTTTTATTTATGGTTTTTGAATTATTTTTGTGTGTGTTGAAGGTGACTGGAGAGCCTTTGATTCAACGGAAAGACGACACAGCAGCTGTGCTAAAGTCAAGACTCGAAGCATTCCATAAACAGACTGAGCCAGTATGTCTCATTGTCTTCAATTAATATATATATAGTGTCAATTATACGTGTAAATATAACTTATAATTTTTGTGTTTGTGTTTGATTTGAATTAAGGTTATTGATTATTACAAGAAGAAAAACATTGTTGCAAACCTTCACGCAGAAAAACATCCACAAGATGTTACAGCTGAGGTCCAGAAAGTGCTCTCATGAGATGATATATGCACAATTCCTTTTTTTTTTTAGTATTTGTACGAATGTGGTTTTGGATTTGAGTCCTTTTCCTTTTTTGTCTATCACTTTTTTTTTCGGACTAATCTATGTATTACGAGAGCAATTATATGTAGGAACAAATAAAATACAAATACACATCTAGACTTCATAGAATAGTTGATTTAGAGTTCAAACGTTGGAGTTCAAACGTTAATTTTTTTTTTGGATTTCATACTTCGCTACAAATAATAAGCACATGATTGATCCATAAACTTTTTTATTTAACATATATAACACGAGTTCCTGGTGCTTGAAATTAACACATTTGTAAGATGACCAGTTCCGTTTGTTAAATTAAGGAGGTTTGATCATCAACGTAGATTTAACCTTAGCATCTTTGGGGATCCAAGTCAAGCTTGTACACAAATTTTTTTTGATAAAAACCATGGCAATTTATTTTCCTTTGGACTTTTCAGGTAAAAAGAGGAAACCTGATATATGAAAAAAATAGTCAACGACTTGGACAGTTTAACAGAAGAATACATTAAATTCAAAATATATAGTTGGGTCGTATCACCTTTGAAAATTTGAACTTATAAGATTGGTTGGAGCTCCTCAAGAAGAAGAGACTCTCCAAAAATAGGCGTATGCCACTATAGGCAGCGCGCACACGGTATTCTTTAGTAAAAGGCGAAAGAATAGTTCGCTTTGTGCTCACTGCATGGCTGCGTGCTTTTTCCTTCTCAGCTGCTTGGTTTATATAATGACTCCAAAGCTTTCTACTTACTCTAAGCCAGCGATGTGGGATGAATTCCCAAACTAATTCAAAGTTTCAAACCCATCTCCCTCCTCTCTCGTCTTTTTCCTATCTTCCACTTTTAGAAGTGGTTACAACATAAATTTTGATTATTTAGATTTTAGAAACTGATGGATAAAATTACCAAAGTGTTGTTTTGATTAAAAAAATGGAAGGGGGAAATTCTTTTTAATATTGCATTAACGCATACGGGTAAATTTGTAATTTTGTTATATTTTCAAATATAATAATGTGAAAGTTTTGATTCGATATAAATAATCTAGATTAGAGTGTAATTCAAAGTTTTCTAAAACGCTTTATAAATCAAAATCATTAGTACCAAAACACGTCAAAACATATCATGAGTTTTGCATTTTACTTCTATCAAATAATAAAACTTATAATTCCCTTTGAGCCTTCCTATCATATACATATACACAATCAACAAAGGAATATGTTACCTTTTGCTTGGGAGTTCTGTAAATAATGGCTTTGCTTCTTGCTAACCATGAGGGTTTTCAAACAACTTTCAATTCTTTGACATTTTTTTCATTTGGTTATATGATGAATAGCCATAAAAAAAGAAGTAAGAATGTTAACTCCGTTAAATAAAAAAAGAAACAACATCTAAGTCCTACGTTAAATAAATAAATAGCTTCTAAAAAAATTGGTTGGAAACTTCAACATAATAAGAATGAACTCTTTGAAATGGATGCATGCCACTATATATCTGCAAAGAACATTTTATTTTACTATGATAAAAGTATGACATGAAATATCTACTAGAACAACAACAAACATTGTATTTTTCTAGTTCCATATTTATTTATTTTTTGACTCCCCCACAAATTGATTATTTTCTCTAAGGGTGTTTATGTATGATCATAACTTTTAATAACTCCAATAATTATATTTGGATTCCAAAATATTGGTTTCTTAAATAAATAATTTAGAAATTTGTATTTTGTTTAAAGATATAATTACGGTTATGTTAAACTTAGTCGGCTTGTTTAATATATATATATATATATATATATATACTAGCCGTTACCCGCGCACAGCGGCGGGGACAAATAGCTTCTTTTAACGATAATTTTTAAAGAAAAATGTTATGTTCCAAAAGAAAGTTCATATCGTGGGTGAGAGGAAGGGCGGTAGTCGTGATAGTGGTTGGTTGAAGGCGGAAGGAGGCCGAGCGGCTGTAGTGGTGGTGGTTATACTATCTTGGTTACTGGTTATGGTTCTTCGAGAGAATGTGCGTATATTTCTTACTTTGAAGGGATTACGAAGATAGATATTATGAGATGGCTTGTTACCAATGTGAGAGAAGAGATCCTCTATAAATTGTTAACATTGACCGCTTCAAATGGCTGAAGTGTTGAGATTGACGGGTTCAATTTGCAAATGAATTC